GTTTTGTTATTCCTGTTCGTGTCACCGAACTCAAGAATTAGCAGTTCTCTGGGGATTTTTTTTTTTTTATAATGAAATTTTTGCAGCAAAGGAAGAGTTTGCCAATAAGTTGTTGTGTGCGGAGGGGAGGTGAGGAGGTTTGCTATGTCATCAACATATACTGATTCGGCTTTCCAGATGTGACGGGCTTAAATGGTGGGATAGATGCCAGGTGCACAGATGACTCTTAGGCCCTCTATGACAGTAACTTCCTTTTTAAAAGGGTCACTCCCGCCCCTAGGCTGTGTACAAACACCTGGCCCAGGTCACAAGCCGACAGAGATTTCCTGCTCTCCGGTGGATCGGGTGTAAACCGAGCTCGCTCTGTCGGGGACCTTTCCCTGGAAGACAGGACAACGTTTGCAGAAGTGCCTGGCGATGTGCTTTTGGAAGAACACCAAGAGGTAGCTTCTGAACTTCTCCCCGACGAAGGCGTAGATGATGGGGTTGATGCAACAGTGCGTCATTCCCAGGGTCTCCGTCACCTGCATGGCTTGGTCCAGTCTGTTGGAGCTACTGCAGTTATTGAGGCCAAAGGACTCCGGGAAGGTGCTCAGCAGGAGGACGATGTTGTTGGGGGCCCAGAAGAGAAAGTAAACGATCATGATCACGAAAATGAGCTTCACGGCCCTGTGCTTCTTCTTCTCGTTCCGACACCGGAACAGGGTCCTGAGGATGGCCGAGTAGCAGACGATCATGACGAGCAGGGGCAGGACCAGGCCCAAGACGCTCCTCGTGACTGCGTGGAAAGTCTTCCATCCTGGTGGGAAAGAAGGGCGGCAGGAGTAAAAAGAGTCTTCCCACTGCAACTTGTTAAAGACGCACCCCGGCAGAGAGGCGACCACGGCCGCCGCCCAGGTGACCGCGCTTGTCACCGCCCCAAAGGTGACCGTCCTGGCCTTTAAAGCGAACACAGCGTGGACGATAGCCAGGTACCTATCGACGGTCAGGAGGATGATGAAGAAGTTTCCGCCAAAGTACCCGACGTGATAGAGCCCGGTGACCGTCTTACACATCACATCCCCGAAGACCCACCCGTTGGCGGCATAGTGGGCCCAGAAGGGGAGGGTGAAAAGGAAGAGCAGGTCGGAGATGGCCAGGTTGAGCAGGTAGACGTCAGTCATGCCCCTCAGCTTTTTGCAGTTGATGAGGATGAGGACGACCAGCAGGTTGCCCACGAAGCCGGAAATGAACACGAGTGAGTAGAGCGGAGGCAGGAGC